GCAAATCTTGGAGGGTTAATCAATTATTTATTTATTCATTTTCTGACTTGTCGATAAAAGTGGATATTACACGCGCAGATGTTAAAAATTTAGAACACTTGCGCAAAACCTCGGAGGGTCAATATCATTCAACTATTTATTCATATATTTTCCAAGAGAGAGCATCTGCATCTGACAAAAAAGACTTGTTATCAGAGCTCGAAGTGATGAAGACACTCGAACCTCATCCAAACGTTGTCAAACTTAAAGGCTGCATAACCAAGGCAACCGTGACATGTAGTGGCTCGGTCTTTTGTAAGTATATTGTCAAGAAGTTATATTGTGGAGAATTTTGAGAGTTGGCGATATTTAGCTCAAACGCAGAATAGAAAAAGTATTTGCACTCGGAAATCTGAATACAAGATGCCAAAAACCATTTTTTTCATGAATTAACTGTGTGTTATTAAGTAATTAATCCAAAACAATTATCATCTTAAGAGACCCATGGCCAATTTAGAGCAGGGGTGGGTAGGGATGGGGTTTCTCGGTACCCACCACCTCTGGAAATGTAATTCTGGATTTTTGTTATCAAATATCTCCAAAACCAAATGTCAAATCACAGTCTAATGTGTGATTGCATGTTTGCTAAACAACGTATGTGTGTATGAATAGTCTCCATGGACACCCAGTATCGAGCATTTCAACAGGTCATTGAGGGTGAGGGGGTATTTACCTTATCGATAGCATAGTATCTCTCTTCACAGACCCACCGCTAGTTTTCCTTGAGCTCGTTCCGTATGGAGATCTTCTGGGTTACCTACGTAAAAGTAGAGGAGAAGACGATGATTACTACAGCGGTAAAGACTTGAAGGCTCCTAAAACACCCACTCCACAGCATTTGTTTAGCTTTGCTCATGATGTGGCGAAAGGAATGGCTTTCTTAGCTGAAAATAAGGTGACTATAGAACCAATAGAAACAAGAAAAAAAGCGAGGGGAAGATAAGAGGATTAGGATGAAAGGAAAGAAGAAAAAATCGAAATGTGAGAGAAGCGAAAATGAAGTTTTTTCCAAGAAAGCAGAGCTTGAGGAAAAGGCAGAAACAAACGGCTAAACAAGCACAAGCCAGAATAACATGGAATAATAATTAGAAAGATAGAACGTCGGACGAATGGACAGACAGACAAGCCTACAGACAGATAGAAAGACATACGGAGGACAGACAGACAAGCCTACAGACAGATAGAAAGACATACGGAGGACAGACA